TCATCAGCGTAAACGTCTGGCATGCCAGCCCATTGACAATATGTATAGTCGTCGAAATCCGTTAAAGTCCAATGAATCGGAAAATGCTAAAATGAAAACGCGCCCCTATTTCATATTACATGAAGGAAGGAAGAAAGCAACAAAAGGGAGAAGGCAGGGAGGTTAACGAGAAATACATGCGGTTGGCTACCCTACACTCTAAGCCGAAAAAGACTAAAGTGGGGTATGCCATTGGTCCTTTAGGGGTCTAAATGCGCTGCCACAGATTTTGAACCAATTTTGGACTAACTGCGGGAGTAACTGCAAGGGCTCAACTGTTACCCCAAGCACTTACTCCACTTGGTTTAAATGTTGACCCCAGTAGAATGATCCAGCGGGACTAACAGTTGAACCGTCTGGACCAATGGCAATAAAAATGGCGACACTGCATTTGTGCAGTATATTTTATGTTTATTCCAATTTATTCAGCACTGAAGATCATAGTACGTTATTCATGCAACACACACACACACACATACATACATACGCACTATTATTTCAAAGTAAAACACCGCAAACACTGACTGCCCGCGCTGTACTACAAAGAACAGACTCTGGTATATATAGCACAGTATTTTGACCTCCCATCTAGTGCCAGTGGACGACTTTTACTCGGCTTAAAAAAAACAATAAACATTGATACCGTAACGCGAAAATTTACATCGGCTAATTCGTAGCACCGATGCGCACCGATCCTTTAATATGGATCCATCTAATATTCAACATGCTTCCAGCCCGAGACTACGAATTATCAGCTGGTATTCGAAAAAACAATAAACATTGATACCGTAACGCGAAAATTTACATCGGCTAATTCGTAGCACCGATGCGCACCGATCCTTTAATATGGATCCATCTAATATTCAACATGCTTCCAGCCCGAGACTACGAACTATCAGCTGGTATTCGATCATGTCGGCCGAACCAGCGTTCGCAGTGCTGGCGCACGAGTCCGCAAACACAAACATAGCAACGGCGCTTGTGCGGGAAAGCCGGCGAAGCAGCCGCAGGCGCCCCGCCGATGCCGTACCGTGTCGGCTTGCCGACGGCGTCGCTAGGCTTACGACGAGTGCGGCTAAACGACCGCCGGTGATCGCAACATGCGGCTCGCGTGAAATTTTCGTCGTCGTCATTTTATAGTCACAAATGAACAATAGGTAAGTGTTCCACGTTCACGGTGTCTTACCAAGTGATCTAGATATCTGTATACTTACAGCGACGAGACCGTTCGCAGGCACGGTTGTTTCATCGTGCTAGTAAGGCACAACCTGTGTACCGCTGGCCGCACGATTAGTCGTATCTGCTATCACCTACACGTTGGATTTTTGATAACGATTGTCGCATGGATAAAAATACATAAGTTTGCCTGAGCTACTATTTTTGTGAACTTGTACGCGACGTTTCCTTCGCTTGTGCCGGCAATGCACTCACACCGGCAGCCCGCTTGATACCGATGACGTACGAAGCCTACTTTTCCTATATATTGCTTTGAACTTGTGGTCACTGTGTGGGTAGACGACCGCTGATGAACAGCTTACCTTTATTAGCATTGTCAGTGTTCACCGTAGTTCGAACTTATTCAGCACATTAAAGCGAGTTCTCGACATTGCCCGTGTTTGCGGAGACTTTCAGTTGGCTTCGGCTCGCCCGTGCCGGCATGGTGGAAACGCGAGGGCACTTGCTGTGTGCCCTGACAGCGTGTTGTAGTAGTTTCCTCTAATAACATCTTCTATTCGTTTCATAGTGCTTCACTTTCACAGTGGCGTATAGCCTATTTAACTTGTTTTCATGATCGCCGACCACGCCGAGCATTGCAGTGCCGCATCAACAGGAGGCGATCGCGGCGCAGTTGCCCTCCCCGTTGGTCCCTTCATTGCCGGGCGTTTGCGCAAGACACGCATTGTCACACATTTAGTCCCTGTTGGACGAACCGTTCGTCCATTTGTTTAACGACTGCAGTTAGTCCAACTTTGCCGAATTTCGGCTTAGACTGTACACTGGGGGATAAGGGAAGGGGACAAAAAAGAGGAGAAAGAGAGAAGAGAAGAAAAAGAAAAAAGGGAGAGACTGAGAGTAATTTTACTTCAGCGTGTAGAACTCCATTGCATGTCAGAGGCGTTGACACAAACCGGTCTTTCTCAAGAAACACAAGAGGGCTTTCACTGCCTCGTGGGCTGTCGAGGGATCTGGACGGTGCTGTAATAGCTAGCACGTGCACAGAAGGACGCCGATCATCCAGTACTTGTCTTTATGAGGCATGTAAGCTTACCGTAAAATATTTAGGCGATGAAATACCACTTTTAGGACGACTGCCACTTGGCCATGTTGGTATAAGTTCATGATGAAACAAGCACCAATAAGCACGAAGTCCTTATATAAAAGGCACGGGATGGAGATTGTATCATCAACAACCACCACTGGTGAAGAAGCAAACACGTATGCTACATGTTTGTTTCTGTTACCATCTATTTCGCTGTTCTGACGGTGCTAACTGCTGCAATCGCAGGCTGGATATTCTTCATCTCAGTAAAACACTGTAGCAAACATAGGATCAAGTATGTAACTAATAAAACATTTTCCGCACCTGAAAAGCACATTCAGCCAGCACATTCGACTTCCCTTATTTGGCACTCTGGATTATGTTGATCACCAAACTTCTTACCTTTAGTGGATCATCGAATTTCCTGAGGTGCAAGTGTCAGTGTTCTCGTGGCGATGGAGGGCTGTCACAAAACGAGCGCTCAAAAAAGGGCGCGCCGCCAAATTCTCGCGACGAAGCGCCGTAGAGATGCCTCGAGGTCAACGATAAAAAAAAGGAAACAAGCAGCGCGCGTCCCTCTCCCCTCGGAAGCATAGGTTCGCCGACGAACCTTCTCGGATCGGCGGCCGAGCAAGCCCTAGAAAGTTCTCGATGGAAAGGGGCGTGGTGATGCAGGGTTGCGTGATCTTTCGCGGACGGCCCTCGTACCGTCACGCCCTTTCCCCCAGCCTTCGCTGCGCATGGCGCCGACGAAATGATGAGAATTTTCTGGAATCTCGCGCAGAAGGTATTTAACCGAGCAGCAGAGATGGGAGATCAGGAGAAGAAGGAAGTTAGCGCCAGTGTGCGTGGGGTATTCCGCCGCGTCTGTTGGTGAAGGTGTTGTCCTTAGTGACGAAGCAGGAGAAGAAGAAAGTATGCGCCAGAGTGCGTAGGGTGTTCCGCCTTGTGGACGAAGCCTTTTGTCTTCCGTGACAAAGGAGGAGAAGAAGAGGGTTTCCACCTGAGGGGTGAAGACTCGAGCTACAGGCAAGAGTGTGTGTCTACCGCTATCGAGCGAAGACGCGAGGCAACAGCTGCAAGTGTGAAGCCGACGTGTTTTCGGCGAAGTAGCTTGGAGCCTGGAGAGCGGCCATTTGATGACGCGAGGTTTCCTGGAAGAGAAAACTTCGGGGGCAGCGGAACGACAACAACGCTGGACTTTGAGTGAGTGATTCTCGGAAGAGTATCATTCAGACTTCTCTTCAAAGAACTTTGGACTGAATAAGTTTTCTAACTCTTTAGTCTTTAAGTGTCTTGGTTGTTCGATGCATGTGACTGCATTGTAGTGCGTATTGTTGTCTGTGTCCGTTGTTTCGAGTGTGGCTGGTTGTACTGTGTAGTACATTGTTTGATTGGTGACATATTGCATTCAACTATTGTCGAGTGTGCATACTTGTGTATCGTTTTCATCTGCCTTAACTGAGAATACAATTTTGTTTTGTTTATCAACTTTCGGCTCTAACTTGTTCTTTGGACCACTGAGCCGGCGTCCGCTGGCGCGCCAAACAGGACCACTTCTAATTGTCCACGCTTTCGTAGTGCGGTTCGGGGGGCCGATACTTCGGCCCTTGGAATTAGCCCGGCGATCGCCTCCCTAATTAACGGGACCCGTGACAAGGACATCGACAGTGAGGCCGGGCTAATTGCTGTTATAAACAATTTTCAGCTACGCGCTCATGTAAACTTCTGGTGCAGCGTTATCTTAACGAGTTGTTCTTTTACAATACGAAGGCGTGGAACATCAAAATCTGACAATAAGAAATTCTCTCGCATAAAGCTTGAGAAAATATTACACCAGCGTTCAGTAACACGGCATAAACAAAAACAGTTGTGTGCGCCGATATAAAGGGCATGCGGAAATTCTCTAATAACGAACTCGCAATTGCATATTTTCCGTAGAACATCTTTAGCTTAGTTCGCCCCGCCGCGGTGGCCTAGTGGCTAAGGTGCTCTGCTGCTGACCCAAGGGTCACGGGTTCGATTCCCGGCTGCGGCGCCTGCATTTCCGATGGAGGCAGAAATGTTGTCGGCCCGTGTGCTCAGATTTGGGTGCACGTTAAAGAACCCCAGGTGGTCGAAATTTCCGGAGCCCTCCACTACGGCGTCTCTCATAATCATATGGTGGTTTTGGGACGTTAAACCCCACAAATCAATCAATCATTAGCTGAGTTCTTTAATGAAAAGAATCACGACAAACCACGGTGTTGTGAAACGCGGTTCAGGTACAAAGTTGCATTTTTCCTGATGAATTCCAAAACGGGCTTTCAGGAACGACTGATATGACACAGTGCGCAGCCTGTATACCATTTATTCAAACTAAAGAAGAGCAACAAGGCTGTATTCCTCATTAAAAACACAGCAGAAACTGGTAAATATCTTACAACAGATGACAGACACTGCACCACACTCAATAAGTATCGTGGCGACGTCTCTCCAATGTAATAGCCCTACCAAGGAGATTTTAAAAAATTTCTGGAGTGAGAGATCACACTGTGTCTTGGCAGGAGATGTGAGGCCAGTATTGGCCTGGATTTCATCTCAAACATTTTTCCCTCTACTCAAGAAACAGTGGTAAGTTAGAGTTCTTTTCTACACTACTTGTGCGTGCGTCAGTAGAAAATTTCGTCTTTAAGCCACACCACAGATGGTCAACGCTAAACACCAACAAAATTTTTATATCTCTACCAATGGCGAAGATCAAGAGCCAAGCCACACACACGTTTGCCCAACATGGTCGATCCAGAAGAGCACCAACGGGACGAAAGCAAGTGCCGCGTTTGTCCCCATTGGTCATCCGCCACAGTTCTACGCCGGCACCCGGTTTGCAGTGTTGACGCAGCAATGCAGTTCTCTGATTGTTCATTTTGTCCCTTTAGCAGGAAAAAGCACACTTGAGCACCATCACTTCAACGATCACTGCAGTTATCAGTCAGGGTTTCTATAGTCACACACCAAACTCTACCAGGATGGCGCTGATGCGGTGCAATACCTGCGGCAATGCTACGTCGTCCAGACGACGCAGCCTGGCCGCGATCGACAGCCCGTGGTCGTGGCACTCATCCCGCGAGGTATCCCGTCGCAGCGGCACCACTGAGGACCCCGGCTTCATGGCCACCAAGTGCTTCATACAGATGTCCAGGCTTTTTTTCAGTGACTCCTCGTCAGCAAGCAACGCGCTTTCGTCCTCATCACAATCTAATTCTCGTAGCAGCTGCCTTCTGGAAAGAAAATTAGCGATAATTACCCACAACGACAAGCCGCGGATTCATATAAACGAGATCTATAACCAGCTTCGAATCTAGGAACGCATTTAAAATATGAGGGCAGTTAACTGTCCTTCAAGGCCAACTCAAAAGAAATTGTGGACACCTCAAAAAGGCGCTTCATATGCAGTCTATCTGCAGACAATGCTTACTGCCAAATTTGCCACTCGAAATGCAAGTCGTTACCCTAGAAAAAAAATCGCGAAAGCGCAATTTGAGCTACCGAAACTAAAAAATACGACGCCATACAGTTGACCGGAAGTGACGTACACAGCAGCGTGTAAAGGTCTGCATTGCGACAGACATAACTATGCAGACGAATCACCAGTCCAATGCCGGGGGTGGGGTGGGGGGTTGATTTTAAGTGAAGAGAAGAGAAAAGTGAGCCCCGTAACTGTCTTTCAGCGGGAAGATACCTCAGCAGTAGCTCACGACGGATATGGGTAGAGAAGGGATTAAAAGGATAGGATTAAAATGTAAAGACAGAGAGAGAGAGAGAAAGAGAGAGAGGAAGCAGAGAGCGAGGCGCAGGGACAGCGAACGACGGAAGTAAGGAGAAGACAGAAAAGATGGACATGGTTGCAGGAGTCCCAGGACGGGGCACCACTGGCGAGAGCTGTTGTCAGCGTCAGGAGATAGCTTAGGGCAAGTACAGTAGGCCATAGGTACGCTGTCGTCGAAGATCAGCGTCAGGAGATGGCGTAGGGCCAGCCCAGTCGACTAGAGATACGCTGACGTCAGAGATCGCGTGGGCACAACCGGTCGGCACGAAATCCAGCTAGAAGTATGCGCTTTGCAGCCGCGCCCACAGTTTTCTTTTGAGGGGCGCAGTGCAGGGAAAAACTTGAGAAAAAGTGACTTTTTCTTTTCTTCGCATTTTGGAAAGCGTGCCCGTTCGTGCATAATTTCCACATTCATGATTTTTTTAAACAGCACTTTTGTGGCTCAAAACGAGTTTTCCCGAAAGCAAACAGTGCGTAAAAACGCACCCTATAGCGCAGGCCTCTCATACATGCTCTGTACTTACGGTATACTTTTCTAAGAAAAAAATATCATGTACGTAAGTCAAAATGTTCGTCTCGAGTAAGCTGCGTTTAGGAAATTTCTATGAGAGTTCTAAGGCTCACCAGAGACGCTGTGCGCCTTTACATTCACACGTCGTCTTCGGAGAACATCGGCTCGAACACTTTTTTTCTATCTTAATCACGCCTCGTATTTGTCAAGCTTGCCGATGAGTTTAGATGCTTGGGGTAAGGAAAGTCATCAGCAAGCGTACACTTCGCTGCAACCCATATAGTTGTCTTGCAAATGTGATTTAATGTCACTGACGCACCGAGGCCCTTAAGGTTGAACCAGCAATAACTTCAGTGTAGAACCTCTCATGCTTTCCAGCGTCCTTCGAGGCAAATCACGTGCAGGGTGACAACGGGTGTGCTCTAATAGACATGACTACTATCTGTGACGCAATTAGACCGAATATCACGTGAGAACTGCCCGACGTAAGTGTTTTCACGGGAATTGAATAGCAGAGTTTTTAAATGCGAAGCATTTTTTAGCGAACTTCGGCGACTTTGAGCGTATCTATCTATCTATCTATCTATCTATCTATCTATCTATCTATCCATCTATCTATCTATCTATCTATCTATCTATCCATCTATCTATCTATCTATCCATCCTGCCGCCTACGACTTTTAGCTCTCCTGGCCGTTTCGATAATGGCATAGATACCAAACTTGGTATGGCATAACATGACTGTATGAAGAACATATTTGACTAATCATAACATGAGAATCATGACATGTATGTCATGAATGTCATGATTTACATTTCATGGTCCTGCAGCTCTTGCGGTGGTTTCGTTCACGTGGTATGTTGCAAAACTGGTATGGTATGGCATGATTGCATGGCGAACACAAGCGACAGACCCTAACATGAAAATCATGATATGCATCTCACTACATGCCACGCTCATTATGCGCTCGCGGCCGTTTCGCAAGCGTCACATATACCAAATTTGGTATTACAACACGTGAATGGATGACGAAGGTATGTGACTGTTGCAAACATGATAATCATGACATGCGTGTCATCTAACAACATGACTACATTCCACGCTTATGATGCGCTGGCGGTCGTTTTGATAACTTGACTTATACCAAAGTTGGTATTACGGGACGTGAATAGATGACGAAGGTATGATACTGGTGCAAACATAATAAACATGAGTCGCGAGTCATGTAACAACATGACTACATGCAGCATGTCGCATTTCGCGCCGGTTGCCGTCGGGCCGGGCCGACGAACGCTGGTCACGCCTGACGTCAGACTATAGAGTGCTCGTGTTTTGCTAACGTAGCGTCACTGTGCCCAGCGTGCGCGCGCGTGAACGTTACGTTGAAGTACATTGTGCCATTCACGATGCACTCGAGGCTGTTTCACTAGCTCCACATATAACGAATATGAAGTTACGTGACGTGAATGGACGACGAAGGTATATGACTGGTGCCAACTTGATAATGACTGGTGCAAACTTGATAATCGTCAGACGCATGTCATGTAAGAACATCACAACACACCACGCTCATAGCGTGCTCGCGGCCGTTTAGATACACTTAATTTGGCATTGCGTGACGTGAATAGATGACGAAGGTAAACGACCCATTCAAAGACGATAATCATGACACGGAAGTCATGTACGGCATTGCTTACCTCCACCTCGTAACGTTGTGCTGATTTTAAAGTGTCATATGAACATTTCTCATTCGTTCTTCACATATGATCGGTTCCCACTGTACGTGGGATCTGCCCATTTTTTTCCTGACATTGTTAACGTTCAGACTCTTGAGGATGGCGACATGGAATATTGTTCTTGCGTTTAATCACGGTAGTATCGTACGAGGCAACATTTGAAAATAGTTAGGATTGACGCCGTGCCGAACTAGAGTCAATTTGCTAGAAAACGTTTAACCCACTTGATGATAAATTGCAGATAGATCTGTTTGACGGCTCACAAAAGAAGTAAGGCAACCATTACGAAGTCTCCAAAGCAAAAAAATGGACGTTGGCAAGGATTACCCACATTGTATATATTGAATAAAGTAGCTGAGCAGCGTTTCTGACAAAGTGTGTTAGCTTTTAAGCCATTTTCTAATTGTAAACTCGATTATCTCCAAACCATGTTCTTTTATCATTTAGACACCATTATTTCCTATATATTCCAAGATAATCAGCTAATTATTATTTCCTTTATTCTGCATAAACAACATAAACACATACCGTCTACTGAATTGGAATTCAAGTTATGCACTTCAGAGTTGTGTGACGAATTTTCATAAATGCCAATTAACTCGAAACTTATAAATGCGCAATTAAATCAAAAGTGCCACGAAAACTTTAACATTACCTAGTTTTCGATGAATCTGTTTCAGTTACATGAACAGAAACTTTTGAAGAAAACCATAAATGAAATATGCGATTTTCTCTTTTATTGACTCAAAAAACGTTGCCTTAAAATGACTAAAAATGCATGCGACGTATAGGGCCTACCCGGTACCTTTATAGGGACACTGAAGAGGTCTTGAATTCGCGAATTTATTGCGAATTCGGTATCCGCGACCTCCTACAACATGTCTACGGAGGTTTTTTTTTTTTTGCGAAGTTAAATAAACAACGGTGCTATTCATGGAAGCCTATAGGCAGCAGCCCCATCCCCGCGCAAGTGTGAATAAGCGGTCAGCGGCGCGTATACAAATACGTATACAGCGGCGTATACAGCGGCGCTTCGTTGTGTGCGGCTTTGGCCGATTGTCGGCGGATAAAATGCGTCGACTACAGTTTCATGTTAATATCTACGCTCTCCTCTATTGATTCGGTGCACGACACCTATGCAACTTTAACATTCCTATTGAAAAAACGTCCACCATAGGAATCATGCCACCATCATCCACCAAGCTTCCATCACGCCACCGTCACCCACCTTGCTCACCAAGCCTTCCACCAAACACGTTTTGCCTCGCCACCATCAGCCGGCATTTTCCCCCGTCACCACCATTGACTCACCACCACCACCACCATCTGGCACCATTTTTTTCCCACTCTCGCCGTCATCAGCCATTGTGGCCACTAAAGCTTCCACCGTATCCACTAATATTTCCACCATATCCAGTAGTCTTTCCACCATATCCACCAACGATTCCACCATCCACCAACCCAAGATTTTCAATAGGGATTGCGCGCAAGCAAAGAGCATTCTGCATTTCTTAGGGACACTCGCCTTGGTGACTCTCTACACACTTTCGCACTGATTCACGCCTTTGCTGTGTTCCGCCTGCTACGCACTGCTGCAGCATGACTGAACTACTTATTTACATCTTTGTCATTTGCATACTACAAATAAGAGAGAAAGAAAGATCGTAGAAAGGCCGCATATCTGTGCGATTTGTTCATTGTCCCAGTTCGCACCTTATACGCATATACATTTTCTCTGCCATTTTGTTCACCATGAAATGTGGGACAGTCAATAAGTCTAATCAGGAAAACTTTGTGGCTGAAGGCGCTTTGCGTTGCGCTGCGTTTACCACGTGTACGCACATTTTCTTGCGCCAGTAAAAATATAAAATCTTATGTAAGAGTTCAGCACAAAGCTTTCATTGATAAATTACGTGCATGACGGAGCTACAACAAAGGCCTGGTTAATGAGACAAACATGTTTTCTTTTTCTTTTCAGACAAAAAAATTACCACTACCTTCCGTCGGTCAATAACAATGCCACACAAACGCTGAAACGAATGTAAAGAATATCAAATTTCCAGTGAGATCTTACGAGATTACATATAAGGCATGCCGTCTGAATTATTTTCAACGTCTGGGCTCTTTAAAGTGTTCTTATATCTAAGCACATGGTTGCACACGGTATCTGTGCTATAAATACAGTGTAAGTAACGAAGTCTCAC